GCTGACGCGGGGCGGCTTCCGGGCGCGGGGCGGCCGGCTCCCCCGCCCCAGGGTGGTTCCCGCAGCCTGTTGCCTTGTATGGTCCGAGGACGCCGCGGTCTCCGGGGCCCCGCCCGACGCGGCCGCGACCCACACTCGGGCCTGGCGAGCCCGAGCCCCCACCCCGGCCCCGCCTGGAGCGCGAGCCCTTGATCTTCCAAGGCTCCCCAAATGCCGAACTTCTCGAGTCCCGACGGGCCAAGACTCTGCAATCGCGAGGTTCTGGGGGCCCGAAAAGCCAGAATGCTGCGTTTTGCGGTCCCTGCAAGTTTTCGGAAACACGAGGGGGCTGGAATTCCGAGTCGCCAAGACTACCTCTGAGATTCTGGAATCCTGGGGCTCTCACGCTGCCTGCCCCGGGGTTAAGAAAGCCTGAGTTCCCCCAGGCTCTCACGTCCTGGAACGCCGGGTGGTGGAACCCTGGGGCGCCCCGACTTTCGGGATGCCCCCTCCCCCACCCGCCGCGCCACCCCCGTCCGTCCTGGGCTCGCGCCCCGGCACATTCCGTCCTCTCCGCTCCGCCCCGCCCTCTTCCCTCGGCCCCGTGGGGACGGAAACATGCCGTCCCCGTCCCCGCCCGGCCGCGAGCTGGGTCAAGGAGGTGGCTGGACGGGAGCGCCTGCGCCCCCACGCCCCGGGAACCGGCTCTCCGAGTTCCTAGGGTGACCTCACCTGGGCCCCGCCCTTTCAGGTGAACGGCCGGGCCAGGTGACGTCACTTCCTGCCAGGTAAGCGCCGCGGGCGGCTCTGCGTGGGTTCGAGGGGGCGATCGGTCGACCGTACCTACCTATCCCGCTTCTGAAAACAGCCCACGCCACCCTCCCCGCTCCTTTTTACAGCTTCTAGACCGCAGAAAATCCAGGATTCCAGTTTACACGCAGATTCCTTTTATTTAAAAATTCCAAAAAACACAAAAATAAACTTTTAATAATATATTACTTAATATATTATAGTATACTTAATAATTATTCCATCGTTTCCAATATTACAAAAAGGAGGAAGAAAAATACAAGGGAAGCAGACGACCCGATATATATAAATACTATAAAATCTATTAGAATAAATAAAGTCGTCATAAATAAAGGGCCCAATGGCTGGGGGTGTGTGTGGGGGTGGTGTTTGGCAATGGCTTTGGCTACTTGCTTTTGGAGGGAAATTTGAGCACCAGGATTCCCCCTCAGGGGGAAGCTCCAGTCACCACCAGACACTGGAACCTCAGGGTCTAGGAGAAATTGGAAGGGGGCAGTGGGAGCCTATTATTCACAGCATTGGGAAAGGGAGGGGTGGGTAGAGGGCTCACTGCCTTCCTCAAATCTGCTACATTTTTTTTTTTTTTTACAAGACCCCGGAAAACTCTCCTTCCGCCAACACCACCAACACCGAGCTTGTACACTGGGGACCTGCCCCAGCGTGGGGTCAGGGGAGTGGGTTAATGCACTTTGGAAAGTGCGGGGAGGCTACTTGATTGAGTCCCGCAGTTTCCCACAGCCCCCAGGGCCCCTGTGGAGCCCGCGGCAAAAGAGAAATGGCCCCCTTGAGATCCAGCTGGTCTGTACTGGGTGGGCACTTGTCACTCAGAAACGGAGATGCGGTTGAAGATGGGGAGTCGCCGGGGGGCTGCAGGCGGCTGCGGTGGCCCAAAAACCCCAGCCTCGAAGACAGGTGAGTCGGAGCCCCCCAGGCTGCTGCCACTGCTGGCGTATTCGTCAGGGTCAGATCCCAGCGAGTGTGCAGAGGGGCTCCGAGCCAGGCCACCTAAGGGCCCCCAGACGCTACTGGGGGTGGCCTTTCGGCAGGAGGGGCAACAGGCCAGAGTGGGGTCCCTTCGGGCCACCGGGGTCCCAGGGGCGGCAGAGAAGGCAGAGGGTGAAAGTGGAAGGTCCCCAGGTGGTGGTGGTGGGGAGCTGGAGGGAGAGAAGGAGCAGGAGGACAGGGAAGGGCCTGCCAGGCCTGCTGGTGGTGGTGATGGTCTGCGGCCGGAGGGCAGGCCTGAGAAGCTGATACTCTGGCGCAGCACATGGGGGTGGCCTGGGGCGGCCAGATCTTCGCTGGGGTTGTGGATGAAGTGGCAGCGTGAGCCGTAGGGGCAGCGGCCCTGGAGGTAGAACTTGTGGCAGAGTTCGGTCTTGTACTTGGGGTGGCGGCTGGCCTGGCGCAGCTCGCCCAGACCGTGGGCAAACTGGCACTTGGCCCCATAGCGGCAGCGCCCACTCTCTGAGAAGGTCCGACATAGCTCAGTCTTGTACCGGGATGAGGTGGTGGGGGTTGCAGTAGGTGAGGTGGGTGAGGGCGACAGTTCAGGGCCTGGGCGGGGAGCCAGGGGGGCGAAGCCTGGGGGTGGCGGCACCCAGCCACAGCTTCGACCCTCCACCAGGCTGGTGGAGCGGCCAGGCAGGCGGGCACCCACCCCAGCCAGGCTGCTGTCGGATGAGCTGAGGCTCCAGAGCCCGGAGGAGGCCCAGCCCGGGCTGGACTCGGTCTCTCCGTGGTCAGATGGTGGGTCAGGGCTCAGCGACAGGAGGCTCTGTGGGAACAGGGATTGTTTAAGACACCGAAAATGCTGGGTGACGCCCCACCACAGCTGCAGGGCACCTAAGAGCCTGCCAGTCCGGTTTGTGGGCTTCGCGGCCTGAGCCCCACCTGCCCACATTAAAATATGGGTGCCGGATCGCGGGGATCCCTCTTTGGGCGTTCTGAGTTTATTCGCGACAGACGCCGATCCCGAGGGACCTAGGCAGGCACCCCGGATCCCCCGACCGGATCAAGAGGAGACCCCCAAAGTCAGACAACCACCACTGTCCTCCCAATTTCGAGCCTCTGGGCCCCTCGGGATCCGACCCCGCGCACGGGGTTCTCCAGTTTCACAACTGGAGAAGCATGCAAACTTAACCCAGGAGTCGGGATCTTTTCGAGTTTAGAGTTCCCAGAGTTCTCCGCTGGGTCAAGGGGTGGAGAGACAGAAGTCGGCTTCCCCTCACCCCGAGACTCCAACCCCAGAAACGCCTCCGCGCAAAACCGCGCCCTCAGCAACTCCTAGGGGGTAAGCCAGGTGTGGGGCCATTTCCGCCTCCAGACAGCCCGAGTCTGAAAAAAGTCCTCCAACTTTCCATCTCCGAGGGCCACCCCACCAATGTTGCGGCGGAGACCCGAAAGTCGCGAGCTCCATTTGCACCTCCCGAGACTCGCACTGGTCTCAAAAGGGAGACAGGGACCCCGGGCCGGAGTGTGCGACTCTTCCTAGCTGCAGTTGGTGAAGGGAGCCGGAGGTCCCGGGCCGGACTTTTCGGCGCTAGAAAGCCCTAGTTTTAGAAGGGAGTCAAGCCAGCGGACCCCGGGGGTGTCGGTCGGCGGGGCTCACCTCGTAGATGGCGGCGAGATCCATGGCGGCGCGAAACGCCGATGGGCTGCGGAGTCGGCCAAAAGTGGGAGCGCTGGAATCAGGCTGCGGTTGGATGGCGGAGCCGGGGGTTTTTATAGCGGCGGTGGAGGCGGGGCCAGTGGGGCGGGCCCCGGTGGGTGGGGCCAGGAGGGGCGCTTCCCGGACGCGCGCCCCCAGTAAGGCCCTCTGGGCCCCCGGCCCCCGGCCAAGACGGACCAGAGCCCGGCCCGCGGGCGGCCCCGACCCAACGGGGAGTGCCCAGGGTTGGGAGGGGGGGTGGGGGTGGTGTCGGCCCAGTTTTCAAGGATGGAGACGGAGGCGTGGAGAATCGAACTGCGCCGTGGTGGGGGCAGGGCTCCCGGGGGAATTGACACGGGCTGAGGCCAAGAGGGCGTGCGCCGGAGAGGCGGACGGGGGCGGGGAGAGACGCAGGGAGAGAAAGAGACAGAAATGGAGAGACCCAAAGAGAGACAGACGTGGAGGGAGAGACACACGCTGGGAGACACAGACACAGAGGGTGAGACAGGGCAGGGAGAAGAGAAGTTGGGAGACAGAAAAGACATGTTAGAGACAGTTCCAGAAAGACAAACTCGAAGCGGGAAGCGAGAGGGAGGGCCACATAAGCAGAAAAAGGGAGAAAAACAGGGAGAAACAAACACCTACAAACACAAATCCGTAGGAGCAACACCGAGAGGAGACCAACAGGCTGGGTGGGGAATTCTGAGACCTGCCCGCCTGGCTGGGTCTCACCCCCAAACAGCCCAGATCCGGAGACCTTTGATCGCTCGCCATCCTCCTACCCCGACTCGCCGGGGGCGTGGGGCCCCGGATACCTGGAGAGGCAGGAAGGGAGCCTCTCATGCTCACGCAGATAATGAATGGCACTTCCGACTGTTCTATGAAAGTGCTTTACATACATTAACTCAAGGGCGTATTATGCCCATTTTACGCACCAGGAAACTCAGGCACAGAAAGGCCAAGTTACTCTCCTAGTGCCTGTTACTAAGAGTTTGCCCTCTGAGAAAACTCAAGATTGGAAAGGGGGAGGTCTTTTGTTGTGGTGGAGGGTTGCCTTGATGGAAAGTCGTCTGGAGGCGGGAGAAATGGGTCATCCCCCGACCGATGGTCGCAGGGGTGTCTTGTAAAGGGGTGTGCCTCGAGAGAACTCTTAATTTGCGGGGATTACGCCCCAGTTTGGCAAGTCTGTGATTGTCAAGGGGGTGCCCTGAGTGACACTCTGTTACAGAGACCTGGGAAGAAAGTTTACTTTTAAGGGGATCTTGGTGAGCTGGCTGCCCTGAGTGAAAACCTGGGGGTAGAAATCATTGCCACAGAGTGCAGTTATAAAGGTGGAAAGTTTATTTTTGCAAGCTGCGACCGCGGGCTCATACTGAGGTGGGAAGAGTCGGCAGGCACACCGACTTGCCTCGTCGGACAGAGCTCGGGGGAATCCCTGGTGCGGCGCTTTCTGGGGCTGAGGGGCCTTCCCGGCCAGTCCCGTGAGCTGGGCGGCTGCGGGCGGCTTTGGCACGGTTGCAGCCTCCCGCTCGCCCGTGACTCATTCGCAAGGGGCGGGGGAGGGGGGCTTCCTGGAAGCCGTGACGAGGAGGCTCGACCCGGACGCTCGGGTTCCTCTCTTGTAACCAAGGCTTGTGTCGCCTGTAAACACAGCCTCGAGGACAACGGGAAAGAGGGGAAAGGGGAGGTGTCTGGTACCCGCCTCCCGGCTGGGCTCCAAATCCCTGTGCCGCTAGTAGGACGGAGGCGGCGGGGAAACGGGAGGTGGGGAGACACCCCGGGGTCCCCGGAGTCTGGTTCGGCTCTGGCCGCGATCCCGGAGGAGTTTCGATTCCCTAGGGACAGGGAGCATTTCCCAGCCCTGAGTCAGGCTGACCCCCTCCCCTCTCCTATCTGCTTAGTCATCGGCCCCGAGAGCCAGGACGCTTGGGATTGGGCGACGCTCGAAGAGGCTGGAGAGGGAGCTTCGCGCGGGGAAAGGCCGACCCTCCACCGAAACGCAGACGGGTGGGACCCCGGGCCCCGGGCCTCGGCCCCTCCTTGCTCAGATCTAGGGGTCCGGATCTCCAAACCACCTCTCCGCTCAGATCCAGGAGACCGGGCCTCCAGCCCCTCCTACGTCAGAACCCCCAAGTCCGGGCGCCCAGCCCCCTTCTCTCTCTCTAGTCCAAGTCCGAGCCCCCAGCCTCTCCCCCCTTCCCATCTAGGAGTCTGGCTCCCATCCCCCTTCCCACCCCGTCCAGGCCCCAGACGCCCAGCCCGGGAGGAAGTTCAGGGCAGGACTTCTCCCCGCTCCCCACGTAGCCAGCGGGAAAATCCGTGGCCCGAGCGGCGGCCGGGAATCCCCTCTGGAATGACGGTGGGGAAGGGGATGGCCGGGGTCCCCCGCGGGGGTGCAGGGGGGTAGCTCCTGGGCGGGCAGAGCGAGGAGGAAAGGGGCGGAAACCAGAGCGGCTAAAAATACTGCGGGCACTTCCGGCCTAGGGGGAGGGGAACGGAGAGCAGAGTTTCCAGAAAAACAAGCGGGGACGGGAAACGCGGGGGTGTGAGAGTCGGTGCGAGTGCGCGGGCTAGCCGGGGAGCGTGTCCTCGCGGCACGTGTGCGCGCCTGGCGTGCCTGGGCGCGAGCGGGCGCCGCCGAGTGTGCAACTGCGTGGGCCAGCCGGGGGGCGGGGGGGGGGACCGGGTCGGACGTTGTGTGGCAGTGTGTGTGTGTGTGTACTGCAGGTGCGAGCGTGGGTGCCCCGGTGTGGCTGGGCGCACAGTTAGGGGAAGTAGGTGTGGGACACGACGGTGCGCGCCCCGCTTCCTGTGTGAGGGCCGCGTCCTTCCAGTCCCGCCCGCCATGGCTGTGTGAATACATGTGTGAAACCACCTGCGCTTGTGGGGGTGACTCTACTGTTTACTTTAGCCATCTCTGCGTGTGGGAGTGTGTACTCAACTGCAGCTGTCTTCGAGGTGGCCGTCACCAGAACGTGTGACTTGCATACCTACATGCACACCTGCGGAGCTCGGCACCACTGTGGGCTCTGGGGTGCCCAAGTGTGGGGAACTCCTTGAGGGGTGCCTGCTGAGGGTCTGGCTGGCCGGGCCTCCTGGCGGGAGGCGGGGCTGTGAGCGCGGCTTGGAAGCCGCGTGTGTGAGCACCTGCGTGACTGTAGCTGGCTGTGGCTGTGTGCATGGTCCCCGCAGCTGCGTGTGTCGCGAATTAGTGTGTCCAAGTGTCTGTTTCCTTATTTGGGGTGGGGCTGAGAACACGGGGAGGCCACAGTCTGGATGAGGTTCCTCTGAGGCCCAGTCACAAGGCAGTGAAACTGGTGAACTTCGGTTCCTGACGTCTACAACGCACATGATGGGGAGGGTGGCTGGTCACTGTTCGCGGCCTCCATGGGCAGAGCCGAGACAGACACGCATGCACTCGTACCTGAGAAGCATTATCTGTCCCCAGCTAAGGCTGCTTTCGATAATGTTGAGCTGAGGGTAGGGCTGAGTCAGCCTGTGATGGGCAAAGTCTGCGATGGGGTGCAAGATAGTGGGTTAAGTGGTGATTAGAGAGTTGTTTGTATATTCATGTGGTTGGATTGTTCCTTTAGGGTCTGTTTGTGGGACTGTCACTGGGCCGGAGATCCTGGGGACACCATGACTGTAGGACGGTGGGTTAAGCTGTTCTCTGCGTGGTCTCTTGTGCCCTGTGTGGCTGTGGTTCTCATGTACACCTTTCCCTGGAGTATGTGGCCGTGCACCAGGCTGTATAATCTCCCTCTGGGTCTAATAATCTAGTAAAAATCTCCGCTAAAGTCCTTCGTGACCTGTGTGAACTTCTACCCCTCTCCCTGTGCTGTGGTCCAGGCCTCCACACTGTCCCATAAACACATCAGCACATTCCTGCCTCAGGGCCTTTGCGCTGGCCGCTCTTCTCCCTGGGATGCTCTTTCTCCAAACGCCCACATGCAGTCTGCTCCAGTATCACCACCTCAGCAAGGCCTTCGTGACCTCTGCCAAGGACTTTTCTTCCCCCAAAGTAAATCTTACCATCTATTTAACAAGTAATATGTGTAACATCTATTTACAGACCATAATAATAATGAATACCCACAGACCACTACCCAACCTAAGCTCTCAAACTTTTTTTTTTTTTTTTTAACACAGTAACATAATTCTCCAACTGCATAGCTTGCATTTGTGTCAGACTTACTCCTGTGGAACAGTATCTTCAGCCAGTGCCCGAGAGAGAGGTCTGCTACCCTTCCTGGGGGCCTGCCCTGCATGCCTGGCACTTCAAGAAAGGAACCTTCTGGGATGTGTACACACACATACACGTATACACACACACAGAGGGGCTGGCCATTTCCCAGGACTCCAGTGTGGGGACTCGGGCTCTGGGTGAATCACAGGTCTCCATGGTCCCAGGCTTTCCTTCCAGATGTGGGGTCTAGGACAGGACGCCTCTGAGTGGCGAGATGGGAACCAGGGCACAGAAGGTGTTGGGTGGGGCAGTCCCGCAACCAGGCTGACTCACTTGAACCTTTCACACCCCAATAGCTGGGCCTGGGCTGGTAGCTCCGCCTTGTACTTGCCCAGGCCTGAAAGCCAAGCCTGAGCTCCCGAAGCTCGCTCTCAGAGAAGAGGGGAGCCCAGTGGGCCACCCTTCCCTGAAGCCCCCTCCCCAAGGCCTGCTTCCCGGAGCTGGGGCCCAGGCGCCTGGGTTCTTCCCCAGGACTGATGATTCACCCCTGCTAAGGCCTTTTCACTTCTCCTTTGGGGCTAAAAATACAGGGACCCAGGCATCCAGCTGGGCTAGGCTTCACCACGGATTGCACAATGCCCCTCCTTTGAATGCTGCTGACGCAGGCTCTGGGTTCGGGTGGGGGGAGTGAGTTGCTCTCAGACCAGGCATGCTGAGGTCAGGGCCTAGAACCCCTTCACTTCCCCTTTCCTGGGCTGAGGACCTGGGGGCTGGGCTGACAGGGGAGGTGCTGGGGATCCCTGGACTTGGCCGTGGCCCCTAGAAATGCAACTTCTTCCCCTAGCCCCAAGTAACCTAGGGGTCTGGCTCCCGGAATCCGG